TGGGCACGGGCAACTTTATGTTGCCTGTTCGTGAAAGAACGGGCGTAGAATTAAAAATAATGAATGGTCCTCTGCAAGGCGAGCTTAAAAGTGATATAAAGATCTACGCAAGAAATATTGTGTACAAAGAGATCTTTGACATGTGAATTAACATTTCATTATTTAAATCACCTTTACTGATTGAGCTAGCGGTGGCTCTTAAGAAATGTACCGCCAGTGGTTTCCTTCATTGTACTCTACTTTAAGAAATTAAGCAAGTAGAAGGGGGAAACCCCGTGGAGCAGTAAGCAAAGGGGCGTCCTCGCCGCCTGCCCTGGGTAATTCAGTTTAAATTAGGAGACACCTTGCACAAATCATTTTAATTACAATTTATAATATCCAGAACAGCGGTCATTTCGTATGACCGCCAGGCTTTCTAGTACTTAAATATTTGTACTGATTTCATTTTTACATCTGTACCGGTATCTACATCCTAGCCTTATTACATTTATATGCCTAACTTATACAGTAATAGCAGTATCCCCACCATGTACTGTCCTTCCTTGTTCCAGTTCTTCTTTCACTGTTCCTCACTTTACATAGTCAGGTCTCGGAGGCCTATTGTACTTTCTTTAATTCCACCGAGAAGATACAATAGGCCTGATGAGCACCTAACACAATGAACAAACTTTAGGAAACACTGTATAGTAAATGATCAATCTGCATTCCAGCTGAAGCTGGATCCTTAGCTGGAATGCAAGCTAAGGGTACCACAGCGTCGCCTGTCCTGTCAGTCCACACTAGAAAAATGGAGGGCTTTGCTTTTCTACGGGGAGCGTGAGTGTGTTTCAATGGGAATGTCATTCGTGTTAGATTACTAGTACGGGAGATGTGACTGTATGACCTGTGGTGACTAACGGGTGTCCCCCAAACTTCAATAAACTAAAGAAAGCAAGAAAAATTCGTATGCAACCAGCTCATTGTGCCAGGATTTTTATTGAGTCGATTTCTGCTGCCTTTTTAGCATGTCTTCGTGGTGTAGTGGTCAGCACTCTCGACGCGAATTCGAGAGGTCCGTGGTTCGAGTCCCGGCGAGGGCACTGCTAATTTTTCACATCTACTGCTTTCATAAAAACCTAATGTCTTTACATTGGCGCCCAAACTAAAAAAGGGGGTGGATGATGATTCTCCACCACCAGGATTTTGTGATTGAGGCCCCTAATCCCCAGTCGCCCTTTAAAAGGGAGCGTATATAAGGTATTTCTCCCGTCTTTTTAGCATGTCTTCGTAGTGTAGTGGTCAGCACGCTCGGCGTGTATTCGAGAGGTCCGTGACTCGATTCCCGGAGAAGGCATTGCTCATTTTTCATGTCTCTACTAACTGATGTACTGTCTTTGTTTTGGATTACGGCAGAGTATCATAGGACTATTTGCCTAAAGGGATGAAAACCTTCATAGAGGACTTTCTAAGGGAAGCTGGTTCGTATTTACATTTCACACAGGAAAAACCATGAAAGCTCCCAAGCACCGCCTGCCAGCGGCCGAGTGGTAAAATCACTGAACATTGGTAGTTTAATCATTCAATTCATGTTCAGATCGCTTTATTCTTCTTTCCGCCCCCTTTCCAAATCGAAATTTATTGCCTTGATGTTCAATATACTATTCAGAATTAAAAGATAAATATTTTCTTTCTGAACTCTGGTCACAGCTCTCAAATTTGACAGTTTCCCAGTCCGCATGAATCCTTTCCGTCCGTCATCTTCCAGAATACTAGTAACGACTCCAAGAATTAGAAGTTTTTACCAATAGAATCCTTATAGTTGAATAATATTACGTTAGCATAACTAAACGCAACGTTACTTGAAGAAGTTTTGTCCACACTGTAAATGTTTCTCATACCAAAAAGGTCTTTTTTACATGAAAAATAGAAATCGAAAAACTTCACACCATTTCCGTGCTACTTCAAGAAATTTTCTGCTTTTAAATTACCGAAGCGTTTAAGAAAAACCTTGAGGAAAAAGTAATCTACAGTCAGTGAACCAAAACCAGCCACTGTAAAAGAACAAGCTAGCTGTGTTATATTGCAGAAAATAGTATTTAAGACATTCATTTATGATTTTAGAAAAATGTTGTTATATATATATATTCTGAAGCTAGTTCAAAATTTCAAAATATATTTTGCCCACCGTGAACTCGTTAATATTGAATGTTAAGCTTTTGATTAAAATTAAAACAGATCATTTCTAGGCATCAATTTAAGGCAGCTAATAAAAATAATATTTACGCATTGAAATGTGCTTTTATTACAAAAACAGAATGGACATTTATGAAGTAATACAACTGTTGTTATAAATTTGTGGAAGATTTTAAAATGATATTTATTTTCGTTTTCCCATTCATAAATAGTTTAATAGAAATAGTTCAGAAATAAAATTAATCCAAGGGACAGGACCATTGGTTCACCGTAACTTATGAGTTAATGGAGTTCGGTGTGACTCTGCGTACAAAATTTAGATAGATTATTACAATAAAAGTAAACTGAACAGAACCGCTAAGGCCATTGATCATAGATTAATGTCGAACGGTACAGGGCGCAGCACAAAATTTAAGTAGATTAATAAAATAAACCGATAGCATAGGTGATCATCAAAGACGTTGGTAATTTTTTGATGACCTATGGTTGACGGCCACCGGCAAATAGGCAAAACTGGGGTGAATAGCAGTGTAATAAATAAGGAGAGTTTATTAAAATAAAATTAAAATGAAAGACATAAAAGTATCAAGACTATTGCTCACTGGCAGAATGACCATCCAGCAGAGGGAAAAAAATTAATATTATCCAATTATTATTAGCTCGAGGGTTTTTTTTTTTTTTTTTTTAGCTCGAGGGTTTTTTTTTTTTTTTATTATTCCATTTATTTTATGTCTAATGGCAAACAAGTTAAAACTTTGCCCTTGTAATTTTAAATTTAAGTCATTTAACTTTCCAAAAATATCAGCTAAATATGCTAAACACGCTAACCATAATTCACTAAATATTTTTGCTATTCAAATTTTGAATCACAGAGGAAAATGTGAACTTCTGATCGAAGTTTAAAAAGATGATTTAAAACTTTGGCTCTGGATAACCACCTTACTTCGGAATATAACAGAAGCGTTTCCTGTTCACTGCCCATCTTATCATAAAATCGTAAATATTCTTGAATTTAAAGCTCCGCTTTTAATAAAATTATCAATTTTCATAACTTGATTCAAAACGATTTTCAAGTCTCCGGATATTGTTTTGGCTACTTTAGCTTCACGATGAATGGAGCAGTGAGTAAATTTAGTTTCAGATGCGACCTTTCTTTATGTCAGCAATAACACCGGAACGTTTTCCTGTTTAAGCCCGAGATCCGTCGCTGCATACACTTATTCCTATGGTATATCATTCTCAGACGCAAAATTGTCAGTTACTTTGAAAATTTCATTTGCAGTTGCTCTATCATGAAGAGCTTCACAAAATAAATACTCTTTGGCAATTTGTTTATCTTTTTCTAAACGTATGTAAATTAATAATTGACCAAAGTTCGTTAAATCAGTACTTTCAAAGAACTGTAATGCGAAATACTCACTGTGTTTTATTTTTTGAATAAGTCTCTTTTTTTTTTTTTTTTTTTTTTTTTTTTTTTTTTTTTTATGGAATTTGTCATTTTATGGATTGGTCTACTTACTGAATCATTTGATAACGGAATATTATCAAGTTTATTGGCCGTTTTTTTCATTGAATAAGTTAAAACGATATCTTTACCTGCTGGTAATATAAGGTTTTCTCCAATAGTGTTAGCCTACCTAGTCTTGGCAATTCTTAGGCTTACTAGGTAACTGATTTTCAAAGCTTTTTCACTTAAGTAACAAAACCTTTCACTACTTGTTAACTCCGATTATTTACTCTTAAAATATTCTTCAGATTTATTCTTTAAATTAACATATTTAGATTAAAGGTGTCTTTTAAGAAACGATGATTTCATACTTTGATTGGATAATAGCTTACCGCAAACAAGACACTGAGGTTGAGGGTCCATTTCATCTCCATTTTAAATAAACTCAAATGATCAATAAGTTTCTTTATATTTTCTATAAACAATCTTTCTTTTCTTTTCAATATCTTAGTTCTAGAAGATTGTGCTGGATCCATCACCTGTGAATCATCACTTTTCCGTTTAGACAATCCTAGCCATTTTTCCATTTTGAAAAAGCGAGGTTTTCTTTATCATGTTTTCACTAATATTTAAATGCACACTATATTACGAGTTCTTCAAAAACAAACGCCGATATCCTCAAATCGCGTAGAAAAGTAAGGAACGCAAAGCAACCAGAAGACAAAATACCTGCTGTTAGAGACAGCAATTCGACTTCAAAAATTATTCTAATTGAAAATACAGCAATATAAGTCCAGAAATGGTCTGGACATAAAGTGTAGACATGCTAATAAATTAATCAACTCTAAAAGAATTAATGAGACACTATTATGTTTTTATAGAAACTTATTTTTATTTCCTACTAAACATAACATCCATCATTTATGACAAATTTTGTTATGTCTATGTCTAAAACAATATTTGAGGGGAGAAAAAGGATTATTTTTCTAAAATCTATAAGCGGCTATTGACCATAAGAAAAGCTCAGATCACATAAATTTACAAGTGTTAGAGAAAAAACAAACAGGTTGTTGTGGTATTTAAGTTTTGAATTTAATAGTTAAAAATACTTTATTTCTTTGCGTACCACCTATTTTTCTCTTGCGTACCACCGGTTGAGAATCGCTGCCCTATATACATCTCATACAACTGCAGTAAGTAAAGTAAAACGAAGAAACATTTTCCAGCAAGCCAAGGTAAAAAAAGGAAAGTTTATAGCGATTCTTCAACAAAAAATCTACGATGATAACACATCCTGTGTTTACATAGACAGATGAGTGATATAGAGAACTTTGAAATCGCATCTAGCAATTTATTCTTTAGATATCGGTCACAGCAGTTTATGACTGTCTAAAAATCCCCGCACCGTAGCGCAATGTACAAGAAAGAAAGCTGAGGTTTTTAACTGCGGATATTTCAAGATTAATTCTTATTTATCATTATCGTAATAACTTCCAGTGTTACTTTCATTACTCTTTGTGTGTATTTTAAGTACAACCAAATTCCAGTTATCCGGATTTATGATATCCGAATCGTTGTTCCTTTCCTGACCAAGTAAAGTTAAATTTCTTGTTATTTTATTTATTTAATTTTTGATTCATTTATTTTATTTTAAATAGTGTAAATACATAATATAGTGCAATGCATATCTTTAAGACAATATTAGTTTCGATTAGTATGATATTTACCTACTGACGTATGTTCAGCAAATGTATGACATGTAGTTTACATACTGTATTGCTGTTTTTTTTTCCTTGAGTAGTTCTATTATATCAGTAAAAAATAGTAACTAATTTAATTATTTTAAGCAGAAACGCATAAATTGTTAATCATGTTGTTTTGTGAAAATAAAAAATGATTTCATGATCTAATTTTAGCACATTAAAATGTAAAATATATAGGTTATACATTTAGTTCTAGGCCTTACGTTAAAAAATATATGTATTCAATTGAAACAGAACACACGGCAAGCAAATGGTTACACGTGTAGGTAAATAAAAAGTAATTACATTGCTTAATTTGGTCGCAAAATAATACATAAATACTTTTACAGAAATAAGAATTGTTTAACTGTAAAGTCTTTTTAAAAATAAATGAGATAACCGAAAAAGTAAATTTAACCTTTTGCTTTATAATAAATATGCACTGACTGAAAAGGACAATACAAATAGATAAGCCACCATCTGAACATTTGGAAGTTCTTTAGTACTTGTTAAATAACTCTTTCTTAGTTTTTAATATAATTCTAGCTCTAACACAGAAGTAAATGAAATTTTGCAAAAAATTTCGAAACACATTGCTAATCTTCGAAAAAAATATATGAAATAAAAAAAATGGTGTATTAAATTTCATGTATGGTTTCCTTTAGGTGATTTATTTTCATGAAATTAACAAAAATAATTCTATCAGCCGTTACAAAAAATAAACCAAGTGCAATCAAATGAAGTCAAACAGAAGTATATTTTCATTAATAAATTACGGTTCGTAAAGTTTTAGATATTTCATTCATTCAAATTTACAATTTAATATACTTGTTTTTAAAATCATTCTAACAATATTCAGTTAAATGCAATAGTATGTATGATGAAGTTTTCAAAAACTTAATTCAGGATTAAAACATATTTCGTATTAATTCAGAAGTCAAACAACAAAAATCAGCGTTAATTTACAAAATTAACGCTGATTTTTGTTGTTTGACTTCTGAATTAGTATTTATTCGGCGTGTTATTGTGTCTTAATTATATTTCGTATTAGTTAGTGTGTACATGTGATTAAGAAATAACTAGCAATTCTTTAGCAATAATTATAATAAACGATAAAACAACTTTTCTCTTAGTTCCTTTGTGCCTGTAAAATTAAGGATATAAATTAGATTTTATTCAGCTTCATTGTTTTTAAAATTATTAACAAAATAATTTTGAATTCAGTTATTTTAAATCTGATTTTTGTGCATGCTCAAGTTCTTCGAAAACTTCATTCAAACGTTTTTCATTCAAGCCAGTTTCACAATTTTTTATTCTTCTCTCTGCCTTTTAATTTTATAATACAAATATCATTCTTTTCAAAGGCGATACTTTACGCTTTTAAGTAAGACTTATATTACTATCTCTCTTAATTAATTTTAAAGATTCCGAGCATTTAATTGAAAGCATTATATGGGGAGTTTCAGCTTTCATAAAAAAGTTAGAAAGTGCCTGATTTTACTTAGAAAACACACAATATACAGGTTTATGGTAACTTTTCAGGTAAAGTTCTTATAAATAACTGATAAATAAAAGGCTATGTCTAAGCTGTTCAAATTAAATTAGTGTAAGTCAAATATGTTACGTTTCACCGCTTCCACATCAGTTGCAGCAAATTACAAATTTCGATCTTATCGAAGCAGGCAGAGATAGAAGTTTTAAACGGAAAGATCTAAGAGTTCCATAGCATAAAATAATAACTGATGATCCCATAAGCATTAGAGGAATATTTAAGAATCGCCAAAAAAATCCAAAGATTTATCATTAAAAGAAATATTTCTTCTTAGCCTTTAAAAGAACATTTCATATTTATATAGTTTTCATATATATTACGTATTTTTGCAATAAAAATATAATATAGGTTTTTAAAGAATAAGGTTTAGGAAACAATAATAAAAGAATATTAACTGATGTTGCCACTCAGCAAATCATAATAATTACACAAAAACATTAAATTATGTTGTCTTTACATTACTCCTCCTCAACTAGTTACGTTGCTATGATTTAAAATGTCCTGGTAGTGAAAAAAATCTAGCGTAAGCTAACATTAGAGTTTAAAAAATGTTAAATTTAACAAATAAATATATGCAGTTGGTTAGGTTATTTAATTACGGCAAAGCCTCGAGGGTTATCTTCTTAAGGGGAGGGATGGCTTCGTGGAGAACTTTCTAAGGGAACTGGCTCGTATGCACGTTACACATGGGGAAAACCACGAAAACGTCCATGCATCCAGCCCGTTCGCGAGATTCGAACCTCGGACCGAACTACCAGTGTTCAGCGACTTTACCGCTCGGCCGCTGGTGAGTCGAGATATGTTTTGTAGTTGTAGCCTTTGTATTGGTGATGTTTTTTTTTTTTTTTTTTTTTCTGTCTTGTCTAAAACCAAATACTAATGGTTTATGGTCAGAAATTGCGACCTTCTGTCGTGTGTTTAAAATGGCTAATTGCTAGATTATATTCCTAATAACTGGTAGTCGTAAGTACTCTACTTTTCTGACTGTAACTTAATTTTTTTTAACAAAATGCTATAGATTTCCATGCTTCATTTTCAGACTGTTGGAGAAATGCTGCAATAGTTCAATGAGATGCATCTGTGCATAGGTTGCGACAATCCTGAATATAGCACGGCAAAATCACCTGTCGTGACACCGGGTGGAAATCATTATGCAAAATGTCAACACAAATACATAATTAACATTTATTTAAATAAAATTAAGTAATTAAAATGATTTGAAAAACAAAAACTCTTAAGATTAAAAATAAACTTGCATCTAGAAAACAAACATATATTTAAAGAAGCTTAGAAATCTGCAAATTTGGTGATTAAAAAAATATTTTTTTACTTTCTGTCGATAAAAAAGCTAAAACTGCTTTGACTTCTAAATTTTTTTATGACTTCATCCAAATTAATGTTTTTAGATACTGTATTTTCGATGGAAAGGATTTCCAAACCATTAAGTCTTACTTGGTTCATTGTTGACTGAATATAGCTTTGAATCAATTTCAACTTCGAGAAGCTTCTCTCACAAGAAGAAAAACGGAAATACACATTGTCAAAAAAGTCTTTAGTGCTAAATATAAGTTCGAGGCTTCTTTTTTGAAATCCATTTCTACAATAAATTTTAACATTTTCAATGCAGACCACTTTATAGCTTCGTCCTTTTTATACTCCTATATATAAGTACATATACTTAAAAATTTAAGGCTGTTAGAAGGGCCTTCCCCCTGATCAGAGTCAAATGCCACTCGGTCTCTTGGGAGAGGTAATGGGCCTTGGTAAATAGACTTGGCATTTAACATGATAATCCACTAAATGATGGAGTATTTCTTCGTCTTCTTTCAAGAACTCTCCTGAGTATGCAATTTGAATGTTCTCGAGTTTGTATTTGATGTAAGTTTCGAGAGAACTCAGTAATGATAGGAGGTGAAGTGAATTGCATAACGTAATAATGAAGAAATTACGTTCTTCCACTTTATGTACAATACGATATTAATATTTATCCTAGAAAAACTGATATTATTTTATGAATGAAAATATATCGCCCTTTATTCTGTATTTTTTGGTAGAACGGTGTCTGGATATCTTTTGACTAAGAGTACTAAAGTAAATCCTAGTTTTCCAATTCTTTAGTGTGAAACAATTTTAGATTGCATATGGTGTCCTTTGATCAAGAAATACAACTTGATTTGCGACATTTTACCCGTTGAGTAATGCATTTTATCACTTGTGTTTTATTGTAGTAGAAATAATGACACATAAAAACCGCAATCATTGCACCGGAACATTACGCTATGCGCCATACACACATAAAAATTAAACAAACAATGAAATCTTGTTAGTTACATGAAAGGCTTTAGTGTCTTCATCAAAACTAGGAAGTTACAGAGCAAAAAGACTACTTTTTTAATTCTAAGGCAACTTGTGTGTGCTTCAGTGCGTACGAATCGAGTCACTTGAGCTTTGAATAGCAGTCATATTAACTGACCTGTTGCAGTTGCAAAGAAGTTAGTAATGTGTTTACCTTATGCGAAAAGTAATTCACATAATTGTTAACGGTTTAGGAGTTTCTAGCCAGAAAGTTAGAATTATTCGATATCAAATTATGTACTTCAAGAATTGGTGATTTTTCGATGCGTGCAGATACACAATATCAAAAACAGACAATTAAATGGCCAGTCAAACAAAAGCATTTTCTCCGTATTTGTGACATATCTCCATGATGGTATTCCTGCTGATAACCCTTGAGTGCATTTCCATAATAAAATAAATCAAATACCAAACAATAAATATCTTTACATGTTTTTAAACGTGTATTCATTGACTGAGTTTCAATCCTTAGCATCTTCCTACATCCATCAGTTCACTGGTTTTTAACTAAACAAAATTGATATATAACTTGTGATCGGCGCAATGTAATCATTTTTGGTTTTGTGCCACTAATTATTCTAACTAACGAAGCAGCCACGCACAAAATCTGCGCTTTCGTTTGATGTAACTCTGACGTATTGAGCCAAGTTTTTGTTTTTATGAATAAAGATATACATTAACTCTTACTGTTGAATTTTTCCCTTGATTTTGGGGAAAAAAAAACACAAGAGAGAGATTCAAATCTGGGAATGCCTGCTGCAGAACAAAAGAACTAGCTTATCCTCAAAGTTATGGGGTCTTATCAGAAAATTGGGGACACGATTCGGCTTGTTCAACATGCAGACAAAACAATAATAAATTGGAACAATTACCTGTGGGAAGTTCTAAACAGAGCTTCTGGCAAAATTAAAGGGTCTAACAAAATACAGCAAATGGAAGAAAGT